CTGTGTAGAATTTATCTAAATTGTGAAGCATTTTTTAACTGTAAGTAAAAAAAAAGTGATACTGAAATTAGGTTATTATTGTATTTTTTAAAAGGCTGCGGATCTCCTATGGTGAGCATCAGTTTTCTTAAAAACTCACTACAAATGTTTGATTTCAGACGTTCACTGCTGGAGGATGGTGTCTGTCAGTATCACAGATCTGTGGGGGAAAAGCTGAAGATCAGGTTTTAAAATATTTTCTGGGGAGGATAGCCTTCTTGTGACCTTATCTTGACTTTGTGATAGCCACGGGCTTTGTTATTCAAAGTATTTCACCCGTTACATTTGTCTAAATGGAAAAATGTCTAAATCTGTTCTTACATAAGAAGTGATTTCCAGAAATTCTGTGACTGGCTGACAACTTAGTTTTAATCAGATGTAAATTTATTTATTTTTTCTTTGTACAAAGTGCAGATGGTTAAATGCTCATGATTTCTTTAAGTATGAAAACATCCCAATAAAAACAAACTGGACTGATCAGTCCGACCAATAAAGTTTGATTTTGTCGGTTTGCATACAGAAACCTCCTCAGTGGAAAAGCTTCTGCAGTATAGGTTTAAGCTGGGCAAAATTGCCGCTGTTCTTCAGCTTCTGTGGCATGTTGCTGGACTTCATGAGCGCCTCGTGAGCTTCTTCAAATAACTTCTCACCGAGCTCTTTCTTCACTCTGTCCCTCCAGGCGATCAGCTTCGGGCGACCTTCAAACCCATCAAAACCAGTTCCAAAAGGCTGCAAAACAGACAATAGTGCAGTTATATTTGTGGAAATCAGCTGGCAATTGTTAGAATTTAACAACAAATAAAAACTCAGAAGACAAAATAAAGTTAGAACAATCCGAGCATATCATTTTCATTCAGACAATTCACCTGATGGACTATACTGCAGTTATGACTGTCTGCCAGCTACACGCTTATCATCTGGCCCTAATGTGCTCCATGTGAAGCAGGCTTAATGTAGGAGTGGCCCTAATTTAAATATGGTTTTATATGCTAGACATGCAGATGAGTTGAGGTACTCATCACAAACTCATCACAAGTCAATGCTGCCAGTCAAGGCCAAATGTTGTCCATGAAAACAGTTAGATACGACTTTTGACCAAGTCCAAGGGATTTAGACCCGGAGTAAACTGCAGTTTAAGACAACTTAACTCGACCACAATGGACTGGTAACACAAACCAACTGAGCACAGTACCATGGATATGACTAAACTAAAGACTAAAGATTAAAACCTGTACACACGAATGATTTCAATTGGCTTAAATGTGACAAGACTCTTGGAGAAGAGATTTAAAGCTCCCTCTTCACACACGCTGTGGGAGTTTAATGTATACGCAGTATTTACTTATAATTTTAGTTTTAAAATTAGTTACGACAGGCAAAGTAGAAATCCTGCGACAGAAGCAGCAGTAGTGATGGAAATATTAGTACCTGCATGATCTCCACTATGGCCACCACATCAGCCACAGAGATTTTGTCCCCGAGGATGAACGGTTTACTCTGGAGGAATTTCTCCTCCAGCAAGTTGAGCGACTGCTTCACATTCTCAACAGCAAAGTCCATCGTCTCCTTCGGGATTTCAGAGTCCATGACAATCTGATACAGAGCCTGCCATCACAGACACACAGAGATTAACTGTTGGCACCGGCAATGCAGTCAAGAGCCTAAGAGAGGTAGTTATTGCTGATCCAAAGAAAGAGCTTCAAACTTTTCTGTTTAGTTTTGTTTCTGTTTTTCTTAGTTGACTCTTTTAAATGTTTTTCCGTGTGGAATGTGCATAGATTTCCAAATGTTCTTTTGGATATCGTTATGCTTAAAATCTTTAATTGTTAGTGTCTGACTGCCAGGTGGTCATAAACTCAACATTTACTGGATGGACATTCATAGCACGCAGAGGATACACTTTTTGACTTTTCCTTTTGTGGCACCAGCAGGTGATCCTGTGAAGTATCTCAATATCCTGGCACACTGTTTACTGGAAAGTATTACTGTAAATATTACAAACAAAACATTGTACTAATGGTGCTTATTCTGTGGTTTTTTTTAGAAGTGCCAGTTTTCAGCTCAGCCACCCTGTGTCATTTAAACTTCATGCAAAGCTGCTGACTTTGTGCCACATTGTGCCTTTCTCTGAAAGAAGAGTCAACTCTAAATTGGTGCAAAAGTCTAAATCCAAAGTGAAACTGGTCCACTGAAACGTCCAAACAGACGTGTCAGTGGGGACCGTAAATCATATCATATCTACAAAAGGAACCAATCAGACAAACGAGGCTGATGAAATGTGTGTGTTGAAAAGCGTCAGGTGAGGACAGTTGATTGAACTGGGACACGAACCCTGAGCAGGAAGACCTTTGAACAGTGAGTTCTGAGGTTCATGTGCTGCCAGGAGAAATATTCGTTCACACGTGCTCGCTGCTGCAGATCAGCAGGAAACCAGTGATCTGCCACTGACCCCGAGTATTTCTGCATAAGGTACTCCAAGATCGCAGTACTGCAACACAAGAGAGAACAAAAACAAATGATGTTTTAACCCCTACTTGCTAAAGTGCTGAATTTAACGATTCTTAATTATCTTTTAGTTTGAGAAACTCTGTTTTGTAGGTTCAGTTTTAGCATTTAGGATGTCACAGTCCTGTTTTTTGAGCTGTAAATGACCATATTTAGATTACTCTCACAAATATCTGCCAATTACTGCCAAGTATCAAACAAGTGAAAAACTCAAAACTCACTGAGCAACACTGAGGCATAGACTTCTTAGATGTACTCTTAGTACAATTACAGTAAATGCACAGGAAGCTGTTTAACGTGGCACAGAACTGCATGCACAATGGTCCAAAAGGCACAAATGTGGAACATGTGATATTAGCTATGCTGCAATCTAAGTAAAGTATGTCAGAGATACAGGACAAGTAAAGTATTTCAATTAAATTATGTATATAATTATATCATTTAAATAATGTGTAAAGAAGCCAGACCAAAACTCAGACGCCCGATGTACCTCTCAGTCAGAATGAAGCCTCCATCCTTCATGACAGGAACCTTTCTCACGATGCTGAGGTCCCCAAACTCCTTGCTGTACTGCTGCCCTGAGACAAACACAGAATCCATGCACACGTTACAACACGTTAAAAAAACAGGTCTAGACTGCACAACTCCATAAATTGTTTCAGAATGTGGGAAAAGAGATCAAACAGACTAAACTGTCTGGAAGCAGAAAGCATTGCAATGTTTCTCTGTTCCTTTGTCTTGGGTTTTTCTCTCTCCCTGTTTTACTTGCTTGAAAAACGTCCCTGTCTTAAAGAGTCGGGTATCTCAGAGTTAACAAAACTCTTTCTGGGTGAAATGTGAAAAATGTAAACTGATATCCCAGAGGGAGATTTTGTGAATGTTAGCAATTACAGCACAAGTTAAAAGCCGTGGGGGCATTCATCTCCTCTGAACTCTTGCGAAATCCTTTTCCAGTCCAAATTATTCGCAGACAAAGAGAACAAGCGGAGTTCAAAGTCTACAGATCATTTAGCTCTATATTTTTTTCCAAAATATACAAATGCTACTATTTTAGAATGTGAGCTGAAACTTTTACAAAAGCATGCATGAGTCAAATATAAACTATCATCTCTGTCCCCAGCAAGATTACCTGTGGCAAGGTCGACAACCTTGAACTCAAAGGGAATCCTGAGCGCTCTGGCAAACAGAAAGACAGAGCGGCAAGGTGGGGATATCAAATCGAGATAGAGCTCCATCATGTCGGAATGTGACGGCTGCAGATGCTTCCCTCTGTGTTGTGGCTACTCTCCTGCCTAGCCTGATATAGTCTATCTGACCAGAACTCCGCCTATACTTGCTACATGACCTACTAACGTTTAAGTGATAGTGATCGTTCAAAGTAAGCAATGGTTGAGCAATCTGAGCTTTGGTCTCAACTTAACCAAACATTTCATGAACTCTAGTCACTTTTTCATCTACTTTATGGGTCTCTTAGCTCAGCGGTCCCCAACCTTTTTTGCGCCACGGCCCGACAATATTTTCACGGACCGGTCGCGGATAAATACAACAAAATAAAACTAGTACAGTGCCAAAGTAGTTACCCCCGTCAAAAATTGTTTCCCCATTCACGGGAGCGCGCAAAGTAGGAGGAGCCACTTGCCCAGCTCCGTTCTGTATGCTACTTGTCACTGATCTGCAGTCGACGCGATAAAGAGTAAAAGCTGGAAAACAGCAGACTCGATGAATTTAATATTAGTTTCGTGACATTGTAATGTGCCGTGTGGAAGACAGTTTACCTTATACTGTACACTGAAATAACCTGCTGGGAATACTTTGTCTAGAAAAAGACTTTGATACTATAATACTGTAAAACCAGATGCGATCATGGAAACACGTCGCTCTCCAGTGAATTTACACTCGGTTTACATTTTGTAGCGAAGCTATCACGAATGAGTTTATTTGCAAAATCAATCTCAGTATAACCAATAAGTACAGTAACTTTGGAGAAGATGTCTTATTCACAGCAAAAGTTATGGAGGGATACAGATTTTATCAGGATGTATGGCATCGGCTGCCAAAATGTGTGCCCCCCCCCATCTGTAATCCATATTGCCTTTGCCATCCCAAAGGGTATATTTGCCAAATAAGTCACAGTATAACCAATAAGTACAGTAACTTTGGAGAAGATGTCTTATTCACAGCAAAAGTTATGGAGGGATACAGATTTTATCAGGCTGTGTGGCATCGGCTGCCAAAATGTGTGCCCCCCCCCCCCCCATCAATAATGCACCTTGGTTTTGCTATCACGAAAGAGTTTATTTGCAAAATAAATAACAGTATAACTAATAACTACAGTAACTTTGGAGACCATTTGGTTTTTTTAGACTTCTTAATTTAACATCTACATCTATATATGTAGATATGTGTTCTCGACAATGTGTGCCATAAGAACACTAGCTGTGGACCTTTAGTGTCAACTATGTACAAGCGAGACAAATAAACACATCTTCTGGTGGTGGGCTTTTCACGCAGAGCTGGTGGAACCACTGCAAACACATCTCAAACTGAATCTGTAAAAAAATAAATAATTACAAATCCCAATGTTAAAATTTCATTTATGGGAATTGATCATAACATTTAGCAGTCTTTCTTGATGTCATTACCCATTTGTTGTCAGTTTCATGCTCTTCTTCCCCGCAGAAATGACAGATGTTTGTCAAGTTATCTGTTTTAAAAAGTGAAAAAATAGCACATAGAGTATACTACCTACTGCACTTATTACTTCATTCAAACAACTATATGGTTTGTTTCTACAGCCATCATGATGAAAATATTCATGATGTGAGAACATTGAATGGTGGAAAATGAGTTACCTGTCTCTAGGAGAAGAGTGGTGGCAATTTGCAGCCTGTGTGTGTTTATGGCCTTTTTTGTAGACGGAAAGTCTATTGACTCTTTTCGCAAGATCTTTTCAGCAAACTGAAAAAGAGATTCGAAGATGACTAAATAGGCTAATATCGTAAATGTTATTTTATAGTAATTTGTTTCCTGTGAATCAATTTCTTTCTTTTATTGTGTAATTATCTTATATTCCTTTTCCTGTCATTAACATTTATTACAACACAACATTTCCAATATTCTCGTATATATGTATGTATTTCGGTTAAGACTCGTACTTTCAATGCAAAGACTCCACATGAGGTAGCGTCCACTTGTTTTGGGTGTTTGACTGTGTCACAAGTCCATCTTGAGACGTTGCATCCTTTTTTTCGCATGAATGCCCTGAAAGATAAGTACAATAAAAACAAATAACATGTTTTAAAATTTTGGTGACACAAGAAGGTGAACAGTGTTAGGTATTTTAGTACCATGGTAGCATTTACTGGATATTGTTTTATAGTGACATTATACAGGAAAACTCTGTCATTCAATAAGGCCCCTTTGTTTTAGTTATTTTTCTCTTTGACCCAAGAATTGATGTGTGAGAATCACAGGCTGGTACAAGGTTGAAATACCACAGAGATCACTCCCTCAGCTACATTAGTTTCTTAATCTTTTAGACGCCTGTTGAAGGCCAAATGGTTTGTTTCAGATTTCACTAATGAAAGAACTCTTCGTTTTGTGTCTTGAAAATATGTCGCTGAGATAATCACAATTGTAGCTGAACTGATAAACTACACAAAGGATGCTTCTTCACCCAAGGGCAGGAAGACGCTGCCTTATCTTGGTCTGTACTGGTTTAAACTGATAAATCTGCTGTCTCATGAATTTTACCCTCTATATAAACTGTTGTACTTGTGAATAAAGTTGAGTCAATTTGGGAAGACAATCTAAAGCAGTCTCTGTTTTCTTGTTCTCCCAAGCTGCTCCCGAGCTCGTACTAACACGCTGAATGGCATGCTTGAATATTGCTTGAGAATATATTTGACTGTGTTACAGACTAAGGGACATTCTCTGCTGATAGGTGAAGGTACATTCTCTGCTGATAGACGTCCACGCCTCGAAGGAAGTCGATCCACGGATTAGGCCCTGGAAACCGTTTCCTTCAAACAGTATGGAGAGCTTAAGTGTCTGTTGAACATCAAGTTAAGAACTGACCACACTGTTTTGTTAAAATCATTACTTTTTAAAAGTCTACAACGCATTTCCGTGGACAATTACTTGTGCTTTATTTTTCCCCGTTTCCGCCCATGATATAGAAATCAATCACTTACACAGTACACTTTGAAGAGATGTGGAGGAGGAGCAAAGATGAAATTCACACATGTATAACCTATGTGAAATTATTTTAGACATTTGTCTGATGTTTTAGTGCTAAACCTCCGCAACACTTTATGCGACTACTAAACATTATTCTCCCCGTGCTATATTTTCTAATGTAAAAACATCATCTCATACAGACATCAGGTCCTCAAATAAACATTGAAACATGGGGAGACGTCTCTGTAAAGGCAAAATTAACCCATAACACCACAATATCAGAAGGCCAACACAAAAATTCAAACCTGTTGCTGCTATTTTTTTAATTTTGAGTGCCAATTTTTTTTACATTTTTTTTGATTGACATCATACTTATAATTGTCATAATAAACACAAAAATAACAACAGCAACAAAGCGTTTAATAAAGGGTCAAAATAAATTTCAACATTTATCCTTACCTTGTTGATTCCAAACAATTTTGGATACCTTGTTTAGTTTCTCCGAGTGGATCAAGATACAGTGACTTCTTTTCTTGTGGGTAAATGACCTACAGTAAAATTATGTGGAGAATTACATGTAATAATTCAAGACTTAAGATTATCTGCATGCCATGCATTTGTCTTATAAAACTGATTTGATGAATATTGTAAATGCAATTATTTTTTTACCACTAATGTCCAGTGATGATGTTCATTTACAATTCCCAGAATGACTTCATGCTCCATGGGTTTGCTCTTAAATTGAAACAAAACAATAAAAATATTCACTTCAGAAAGAAATGCAATAACATGTTGTTTAGAGTCCTTTTTTATTAAAGCCATTTATGATATATTATATATCATCCACTTATAAAGTACTCTGCGACAGCCATGATTCACCCCTCATTTCTTTAACCTGTGCAAGAAGCTGGACTATCTTATATTTTTTATAAGTGGTTTTGCACATTACTTCCTCCAAGACTAATAAAGGTCTTTCTAAGGATTTTTTTTGGACATGGAGTTCATTTTCAATCATTTTCAATGCGATCCTTTTACCATCTGCAGAATAATGTTTAATGCTTTCTTAAGCCTCTTTAACAGTGACGTATGAATCACTTGATAATAAAAAGGTACCTATTAAAGAGATGAAGCAGTGTTGATGATTTCAAAAGAGATATTAGCCCAAATGTTTGAAAATCTCAAATCAAGCATTGATTGGAGTGTGTACAAAAAGAGGAGGAAACCAGACAAGCAGAGAACAAAAGAGAACTGTCAAGTCTAATAAACTATCCACATCTACTAACCCCAGTCTCAATTCATTCTTTCTGCATAAGCTGTTATCCAATCTAAATCTGGATGTGGATATGATCTGAGATACTTAAACAATACACACAAGATTCTTTCTAGAGATACCTACCTTGAGTCTTGGAGCTTTTCTCTTCCAAATGGCAGTCATTGAAAATGAATCAATGAATGCTGCTTTTGCTGAATTATGACGATTGCATTGTCTCACCATGATCGCAAGATATGCATTAATAGACTGCGAATACAAAATGTAAACATTTGTTAACTGTTGTCAAGGAATAAAACACTGATAGTTGCATTGTTGTCAGTAAAGATCACTGTACCTCACTTTCCAACTCCATGTCTGGACCAATTTGTTGGATATCCCAGTAGAATAATTTGTAAGCACCAATTCTGGAGAGTAGAATGTGAGGACTCTTTCCAGCCCAGGCATCCATTATATCTACAAAAAGTAATGAGAAAAAGAGATAAGTCAGCAGGACTAAATGTAAATCAAAATTTCAAATGCATAATTTCTTATGTAGTTGTCTGACAAAAGACGTGTTTCAGGGTAAATACTTTTAAGACGCTGATAAAATGGGCACATGGTTTAACATTGTATTTTGTAAAAAAAAAAGGAGAACTTAAATTTGCTTTTATTTGGGGGTAAAGTTACACTTACAATGTTCTACAAAGAAATTTAAATAAATTCATATTAATATAAGAAAAGAAATTTAAATACATAGCAATAGAAATGCTCTTGCCCCCTATCAAATCTTTTTTCCAGCAGAAACACCTATTACAACAATTTTTTAAAATTATGTTTAGTTGAAGCTACATGGCTAATTTGAAGAATCTAAGATATAAAAAAATATTTTTGGTTCTTTCATACTTTTTGGTTTACTACATCATTTGTGTTAGGGTTAGTGCTCCATATGTGTCCATTCATAGTTTTGATGCCTCGAGTTCTAACAATGAATCTACAAAATAGACAAGGAAATTAAGAAGCAACATTAAAATGAAGGTGTGTCCAAACTTTTCACTCTTAGTGTACATCAGATGTACAATATCAATCATGAACATTCTGGGTTACACAACAACAAAAGAAAGATTCACAGTTTTGAAGGACTCACTTTTTCATTTGTGTAATTTTACACATGTGGCTTACATCCTTTTACAAGTTTTCTATAATGTTTTGCCCCATGAATGTTTTTTTAAAGCATTAACATATTGTTAAATTTAAATATTCTGTTAGGAAATATACCTAACAAAATCTTTTTAAAGGTGTAAAATTTCCTATGCCATGATCTACAGAGTACTGAAACAAACACTGTCATAGGAACAAAAGTCCTTTTTTTAAAAATAAAAAAATAGTATATTTATTTACATTTCTCTGCAACTGTTGGTTCTATGGTTTGTGCTGTAGATTGCTGGGCTGTAATCTGTGGACCTGAGGCTTGTGTGGTTGTAGCATTTGGAGCTGTGGTCTGTGAGGCTGGGTCTGCTGTTGTGGTCTGTGAGGCTGGGTCTGCTGTTGTGGTCGGGTCTGCCGTTGTGGTCTGTGAGGCCTGGTCTGCTGTTATTGTCTTTGAGGCTGGGTCGGCTGCTGTTTTGGATTCGGTTTGTAGAGCTGTAGCGTGTTCTGGTGCTGTAGCACTTGTGGCTGGTTCTGGTGGTTCGTTCACTTTCTGTGCTGTTGCTCCTGACTCTGGTTCTGATACCGTTATTGGTATACCTTGTGGAACTGGAGATGGATGTTGTGTTTGAACTGGTAGTGATGTAAGTGATGCCATTGGTGCTGTAGCCTGTGTAGCTTTAGGAGGAGGTGCTGGTGCTACCGCCACTGGTGCTGCTGTAGCCTGTGAAGCTAGAGCAGATGCTGGTGCTGCTGGATCTGGTTGTGCTGTTAGTAATGTGGCTGCTGTTTTCTTTAAACCCCGGTGTGGCACTCTTGGCATGCTGTCTTTGCTTAACTTTAGTTGGTCAATATTTACTTTTGGAATGATTGTCCCATTGGAATCCTGAAGATCTGCACTTTTACCTTGGATTGCTGTAATAATGTAAGGGCCTAAAAAGTTTGCTTCAAGTTTCCCCCCTTTCCTCTGCTGGCTTCTTATGTTAGCTCTTAAAACTTTGTCACCAACTTTGAAGACGACATCTCTCTTCATCATTTTTATTTTGCCCTTTGTTTTTTCTTGAGCTTTGACCACGTTGTCCTTCACCAGTTCCAACAGTTTTTGATGCTTTTGAATGTCTTCCGACACCTCCTCCTGCCCCACAATGTCTTCCACAGTCTCATCAACCTTTGAATCAAAAGACATGTCTATCATTACTATAATTTGTGTACGATACACAGATAATACATAAAAGAACTGAGAAATACAGTGAAAATTTACATTAAGTGTCTTTGGTAAGGTTTTAAGACACAATGTATTTCTGGCAAAGCTTCAGTGTATCCTGGAATTGATTGGACATGAAGAAAACTGTTATTAAGGGGTGGAACAATCCATAGAAATATTCAGTGTTGTTGTCCTTTTATGGCGGTGACATAGCATCCATTGAAACTGATCTGCCTGCGCCTCAAAAACTAAAAAAGTTTCGTTGTGTGGGATTTCCGTGTAGTTTGTCACAGACAAAAAGACATACCATGAACTCTTCTGGGATTTCGGAAGGATAGCGAGCCTCTCTGCCAAACATTAGGTAATAAGGCGAGTATTTGGTGGTCACTTGTTTTTTAGTTCTGAGTCCAAACATTACAGCATCCAGGTACTCATCCCACATTTCTGGTTGGTCGCCAACGACTTTACACAGGGCTCTGACAATGAAAGCACATAGAAGACATTCATATGAAAGATCATTTACATTTTTTAATAGTTTAATGTCATGCATTAATGTTTTGTTTGAAGGGAACCCCCATAAATGTATAACATGTACTCCAAGAATTTACCTCTGGATGGTGCCATTCATTTTCTCCACCAGCCCATTCGTTTGAGGGTGATAAGGGGAGCAGAGGCTTCTTTTAATTTTTAACAGTCCGCAAACCCTTTTGTTGAGCTGCAAAAGAAAGTTATATACACTGGCTATAAGCACATTACAATAAGAATTTAAATAAACAGCTGTCATACTAATATTTCAACAACAGATTTATAAAGACCAGAAAATTAACCATTTTCAAAAAATTATTCAAATATGAGTTCACATATTTTTGCCAAAGACTAAAGTAGTTACAGAATTGACAAATTCTTTGCCTTGGTAAGTCAGTAAAAATCCTTTTCGGGGCTTCGAACTGGTGGACGAATTTTATGAGACAGTTTGTCACTTCCCCGGCTGATTTTGACTTTAAAGGGTATGCTTGTGGCCATTTTGTAAAATAATAAATAAAAACACATATGTATTGATGTCCATTGTTAGTTTCAGTAGGTTTTCCAATGAGGTCCATCCCAACCAGTTCAAATGGCTGAGAGACCTTAAAAAGAAAATCATAGTTAAGTTAATAATACTGAAATTACACAGAATGCTAGTCTACTGTTATAATTTTTTCAAGTATATAATCAGTAGGTTTCTAAGCAATGAAAACATTGTGTGATTAAATGTGATTATTTGCTATGGTCGATGACTAACCTTTATCGGAATGTATTCTGCTGGTTTTTTAATTGTTGCAGCACTTGCCTGGCAAAGTGCGCACTGTGAAACATAATCAAAAATAAAAGCAATTCAATAACAAACACAATAGTTGATGATCAAGGTTTACATAACTTATTTTGAGAGATACAGAAACATTGCTGTGTTCCTCTTAAAATAATTTAGCAGTAGTCGAATTACATAGAGTTTGTTTTGGAGTACCCACCCAATTGTTGATGTCCACTGACATCCCTGGCCAGTAGAACCGCTTTGAAATGGCTTCTCTTGTTTTTGTTTGCCCGCAATGGGCCCCAGTAGGACTGACATGAAAATCTGAAAAAATTGTGTTTGCCTCATCAGCCCCACAGACTACCGTTGTCTTTATGGTTTTGTCTGTGCCTTTGTAGCGCCAGTAAAACAGCTGCTCCCCTAAACATAAACAAGAAAATAGAAAAGTTTATTATACCTGTTTAAACCACGACAGGTCTATATGTGGTAAAAGTCATGACAATACATCTTGAATGTAATGAATCAATTATGTATGTGATATAATTTTGGGGTGACTATTGGACTGGTTATCTATATTTATGACAGTATGACTACTTCAGAAACCAAAAAGATTATGCCACACACAAGACTGTATTACTGATACTAAAAAAAGTGATGGGTGTGTAAAGTCATTATGACTAATGGCCTTCAGATATAATGGATTTATTTTTAATGCAAATATCAATTCGAAGTAGTTTAATTCCAAATTTCCTGCTGTCAGTAATTTTCCACATATGTAATTTAAATAACAGTGGGTACACCTGCGTAAAAGGGTGTGGCACATACCAATCCAAAAGTAATTACGACGTAATATATTGTAGTTAAGCTATAAAAAGACAAAAACAGTTCTTAGTTAACGCTGTTTAATTAATAGCAAACCTTAAAACTTTTACTTTAATAAACGCACATGTGCCAATTAACCGGGGTTAACTAGGTCAAAGAAAGGTCAAGCTAATTAAATCGGTTAGTGCAAATTAAGACTACACATTACGCCATTGTATATGTATTAACAATGTCAGAAGGAGAGAGGCACTGAGGCACCGTCTTCCGCCCCCCGACGCTCCTGCTGTGCCTCCTCCTTCTGACAGGAACTGCCTACAGAACAAGCATGAATGATGCCTGAGTGGACACACACAACTCACAAGTTCCTGGCTCTGTCGGCTCCTCTGCAGAGGGTTTCCCTAAGAAGGTGGACCTAGCAGGGTCACCGGGGGACGGGGAGCTGTGCCTCACGGCCCTCACTTTGTCGGAGAAACCCTCATGCAGAGTTCAGAAACTTGTGTGTTGAGTATGTCGCTGTGAGCCTCCACCATTTACTGGTGGGTGCAGTCTGAACTGTCTAGAGACAGACCAGACCAGCTGCACAACACAGACACTTCAAACCTGAGGACAAAAACTAGGAGAACAGAAAAAGGAAAGGAAACTTAGCTTAGAACCATGCAGCGCTACAGGAGACGGCAGCACTGCAGAGGTGAGGACCGGCACCTGTTTGAAAGAGACAAATACACACAAACACACACAACAACAGACGAGAAACAAACACAGAGAGAGGAAAAAGTGGTTAT